AAAAAAAAACAATTATAAAATAAAAATATTCTATAGACATCATAAAAAAAGAAAATTATCGTAATTTATAAGAAAAATAAAATGATTATGAAAAAATGGAAAATAAAATAGCTGGATTGAGAGAATGAAAAAGTGTGTGATGATTTATTTTAGGATGGGTGAGAATGAATATAAATCGACTAGTTTAAATTTTTTCATTAATGATTGTCCATTTGTAACGGAAGAAAATCGAATTTCACTTGGAAGATTTTTTCACATTTGATGACCTCTAGAATTTCAATTGATTTTTAATAGATTTATTTAATTATTTATTTCTTACGATTGTTTGTAATCTATTTAATGATCCCACATCTTGACGAGAAGTTGTATTATTTGATGTAACAGAAACAAGTCTAGAAATAGTTGACGATGAATTATCATCATTTACTAATGAATCACGAGATCTTCTTTCATCTAAAAAAGATATTAAATGAATATGATATTTTTCTTGATAATTTTTAGTATTACCATATTTTGGCATCACTCTTTGTTTTTGATATTGTTGTAATCCAGATTGTCGATTTTGATTCTAAATAAAGAATATCTTCGAAATAAAATAAAAATCTAGGTGATTTTTACCGTAGGTTGAATATTTTGAACATCGATGATAGTCCGATTTTGTGAAGAACTTGTTAGAGATCTCGGTCGCCGAGGTGGGCCAATTAAACGTTCTTGTACTTAAAAAAATAAAGATATAATTCAGAAACGAGTAAATTTTGGTCAAGGTTTCTATCAAGACAATGATATTATGGGTAAAATTTTAGTTCTAAAGCGATGTGTATTTTTACAAGATGATCTCATTTATTTTTAAATGAATTCAAACATACATTGTGAAGAAACACGATTCGTAACATAAGAACTTCTTAAATGTCTTCCATCATCATCTTGATTTAATAGTGTTGTTCGACTTGCATCTAAATCAGTTTCATTATCGGTTGTTAACGGATTCGTAGTATCCTATTTAAATAAGAATAAGAAATTTTATTTTTAAATATAAACTAAATTCATACTACGTCAACATTTGAAGCTGGTAGTAACGATTGTTGAATTGATGATGCAATATTTGTCGTAATTGCTGATTCACGTTCGAGATCTATTATTTAAAAAACGAAATAGAAAAGTTATTCTCTATTTAATTTACGAACTAAAATCTATGAGATTATTTTTCTATTCTGAAAAAGTACCAACACAAACAGTTATAAATGAAAATAATAGTATTAATAAATGTCAGTTTACAAAGAAAACAATTATATCTATATGCACACCTAGTATATGTTGACGTGGAAATAATGCTGAAAGATATTGATATTTAGAAGTAAAGATTTTTATATTATTTTACTTACTGTTAAGTCGTCGAAGTAAATAAGTGGTTGTAAATGCACCTCGAGAGTCATTTAACAAGGTTAGTTCATGAGTATCATTCGTTTGAGATGATGAATAACGAACTAAATCGTCTAAAAATATTGATTCAATCAGAATTATGAAAATTAAATCATATGAAAAGATTATTCTTTGTTTCTAAAAAATTGTTATTTATAAATTTAGTCTGTCCTAGCTTCAAAATAAATAATCTAAGATATGTCAAAATAAAGAGGCGCCACATACATTATTATTTACATATGTCTTCATCTGGAATCTGGCGGCATCATTTCGAAAAAAATTTATTAACGCCTGATAGCGACTAACTTTTTTTTTAATCTAAAATACCTTTCTCTATGACAGATTTTTGAGTTCGATATAAAGAAGATGTTAGTAAAATAGTGTCCAAAAGTTGTTGATGTGTTATCGATTGTTTTTCACGATCATTAGTTGGTACATCACGAGTTAAAAGTTTATAAGCTTCAGCCTAGAAGAAGAAGAAGAAGACGGAGGAGTAAGCTACACACAAACAGAATAAAAACAAAAAAAGTTAGGGAGTTAGATATAACCCACCTGGACAATTCGTATTTTTGAATATTTTCTAGAAATTCAGATAAAGGAAATCGGAATAACATTCCTCGATCCGATAAATACCTGGCATCGTCTTGCTCTTTCATCAGCTGTTGATTGACGATTATTTGAAATTGATGTCGGTGCTAATATTGGCCATCGATTTGAGCGGTTTATCAAACCAGTTGCACCTTCGATTCGAACAGGATCACTATTACAATTATGTAATCGACGAGCAGACATTGATGGTCTTGATTTAGCCAATTCATTGACCTAAGAATTAATACGATAAAATGAAAACCAACTACATATAAACTTAAAAGCAAGAAGCAAAGGAACAAAATACTAAATAAGATTATATAAGATATAAAAATTTATAAGCAATGATTATAGGCAATATCTTTGCATACTCCTTAACTGAATATATCATACTAATATATTAAGCTAAGGAGAATTAAGAAAAAAAAGAAGATAGCAGCTCATCTTCTTAATTTAAGTATATATATTTCATGCAAATAGTCTGTACCACGGGCATTTCGGTACGCGGAATTTGTGCATTTAAACAGGCAACACATTTGCAAACACGATAAGTAGCATAACCACGTGTTCTTCTTTTTCTTCGTTGTTTGCTGTCCATATCCGTCTAGAATATTTGTTGATTTCGTTTTTTTGTTTTAATTCAATTTATGTATTTTCAAAGATTTTTATTTTTTAAATTACCATTTGGAAGAAAAGAAGAAGAAGAATCACGTGCAAAACTTACCTCTAGTACAGTTTCAGTATTAACCGTAGTTTCTAATAAAGCCTTGAAATAAGATAAAACAAAAAACAAAGGATACACAACATCAGTTTAAGTTAGTTTGGTTGAAGGATGATGTGAGAGGAGCAAAATAAAATAACTGTGGTAAATTATAAGTTTATATAAGAATACAATAACTTACAATATTTGGGAATTGAGAATTGCGATTTTTATTTAAGAGTAAGCCATTAGTTTTATTCTATTTACATATACAACATTAAATAAAGAGAAACGAGCAGAAGATTTGAAATTACTTTATCAGAATTTTCTTTATCGATTTCATCTTTCTTTTTTGTATCTTTTGCTGGTAAAACTTTCTTTCGTGTTTTCTTTAATCGAATCTAAAAAAATAAGATTGAGTATGTTTTCTTCTTATTTAGAAATAATTTTACATTTGCTGCTGCAATAACTTCTAAATGTTTTGGTAAACCATCATCAACTGATGAATCTGATCCATCATCCTCGCTACAAAAAAAGAATTTCAAATAAAATCAAAACTATTATTTAGTTGTCTTATACCTTGAATCATCGTCTGATGAAAATTGATCAAGATCAATATCTGCCAATGATCCTGGATTCATACCACGTGCCAAAAGTTTCATTTGTATTGAATGACGTAAATTATCTTCCAATTCATATAATACTCGATCACGCTAAAAAAAAATTCGTTTCATTATTAATTATAATAACAAGACAAAAGAAAAAGAATCTGACAAAACAATATTAAAATAAAAGAAGTACGATACGAAATGAGAGGAACATAGATAATATTGAAATTACGGATCGTATAGAATGAGAAGTATTAATATTTCTTGTCAAATTTGGTTGTGATTTTGATCGACGTAAATTTGACGTACTTTTAATATTACGAAATTGATTTTTTCTTCGAATTTTCAAATGTTTATCATTCATAATTATTGTTACTTCTCGTTTTAAATCTATACGTGTTTTACTCCTTTGTATCGAATCATTATATGATGTAACAAAATCTAATAAATTTTCTTGTGTTATTACATTTCCATTTAATAATTGATTATAGAGTTTTTGACGGTATTGTTCCTATTTATTATAAGTTAATCGGAAAGAATTTTTGTCAATATTTGCTTTAGAAATCTGTTTTTTTGTTTATTGAGCATAAATAATTATATCCTACTTACTTTTGTTTCATCTGGATCACAATAATCAAGTAAAGAATCAAGAAAATGATAACCAATTGATTCAAGATCTTTTGTATTAAAATGTTGACCAGCTCGTTCACCTTGAGTTGATCCACAAAATGTTGCCTAAATATTTTTTTGTAAATATTTATATATAATTATAATAAATTCTTACCTCTAATGTATAACTATTCATAATACCCAACGACCACATGACAACACGTCCTGTACCTTCTTTGTTTTTTTGAACTTTGAATTTACATGAATCATATGAAAACTAGAATAAAAATTAAATTTATATGTAAATTAAAAAAAACAAAATTTTATATTTATGAATATTTAATTCTCAGTAAACATATGTTAAGGAAAAGCAAATAAATGCATATGAATAAAAAGAAAATCATGCGAATGTTTCTTTCATTCTACTTTTTGACTTTTAAGAACATTTTTTAATATATCATCGTAATTAATAAAAAAAAATGTCTACGATTCATTCAATACGTAAAGTTATTTAGTATAAAAGTAATTGTTTAACTTGGGGGAGTAGGAAAGTATATGTATAATGCTTTTGCCTCAAGACAATTAAAAAAGTTATATGGAAAGTAGTTCGATTTTTTACATAATTTTGTTTCATATTATTACAAAGATCAGTATGATAAATGTTTATATGAGCGAAAATTATAATTTTCATTAAAATACAAACTTTTGATGGATCATTTTTTGATAACATTGCTGGAAATATTCTTTCTTTTAGTCTTTCATTTGGCGCATTTTTATTCTCACAACCATAAACAAAAACATTTTGTTTTCTTGAATGACCATGAAAATCACAATAAAGAACAAGTTCAGTTTCTGTCATAAATCTAAATATATTTAAAACAAAATCACTTCAAAAACTGATACTTCGTTTTTCTTGTTTTTAGAAAAAAACCTTTTAACCATTTCTCTTGTATGCCATATAGATGGATACGCATCTTTAAGTACTGTTTTATAATTTCGATTTAAATCACGACCAGATAATGAACAACGATAATTACCAACAATAACTCCATCGGGATTAAGCATAGGAATTATTTTAAATATAAAATTATCTCGAAGAAGCTAAAACGAAATGATTAATTTTTTTTTTGATATGATAATTTTCATACTCTAGCATCAGCTGAATCACCAAGTAGAAAATCCATTAAACCTTTCATCATCCATGATCCATTCGTTTCACCTGGATGTACACGTGCTGTAACAACAACACCTTTTTTTCCTTGATGTTCCGAAGGTGAACATATATTAATAGCTTGTGGAGGTGTAGGATTTGTTATTGTAAGCATATAAATAAAATTTCCAGCTAATGTTCGACAAAGAACTTTTTGTTTACAATATTCATTTTTAAATCGATCAGTTTGTATTTCATTAAGATAATCCTTGAATATATAGATATTTTAATAAGCAAAATTAAATTTGATATTTTACTTGTAAATCAGAATATGTATATGGATAACAATGAGCAAAGTAATAAGTATCGTTATTATTCGGGAATTTACATGTCCAAGTGAGAGAATACATATTTGTTGTATTATCAGGAGCACTATAGAATAAATAATTACAATATGAATATAAAATAAAATTATTTTATTACAGTAGATTATTTTTATAATAGACAATTTCTTCACCCCATCGTCGCCAACCGATACCTTTATTTTCTGCATCCTCAGTACTATACAATAAAGGTCTCATTCCAGAACTATAAAGACTTGTAGACTAAAATCAATACTTAATAATATAAATGTTAAAAATTTATGTGAAGAATTACTTTAAAAAAATTTACAATAGTAAATCGATATCTTTTATCAGTTTGAATATTTTGTAAACGAAAATAAAACCATTGAGTATTTCGTTTTGTATAAAGATCATATCGAAGATAAAGTTCATAATCAAATTCACCTCTAGTAAATAAAATAATCAATTCTCTCTTTTTTGGACTGAATTATAAATACATACACTTGAACAGCTTTCATTAAATTTCCACTTTCAAAACGTGATTCAAATAAAACAGTCGTATCTTCGGTGTTTTGAAGTGAAACAGCTGCTGATCGACAACCTTCTCTATTACCTCCAACACGAGATCGAACAAACTATCTTATACAATTATTTCAAAAAATTATCATTAATTACAATAACTTACATAACCACTTGTTTCTGGATTATAATTATAAACAATACGACCATTATTTTCATCAAAACTACGTACAAATGGTCCATGATCGGTAGCTAAAGTTTTATTGAAAAATTAATTAAACGAAAAAACAAAGAATAACAAACTTGGTTTATAAAAATATTCAGGTTGAGACGGTGGAATATTTATATGTTTAATACGTGGTTCATTTAATACTTCTATTTCACTAGGCCAACGAGGTTCAAATGATGATTCTTCATTTGAAGTAACTCTTGGATTTAAATTTGGAACACGAGCTTGTCGTATCGGCTAATTAAATTCAACAAAATAATCGAAAAAATTCAATCAATATATCAATACTTACTAATTTCACTTCCGAAGCAGAAGATCTATTTTTGTATTCTAAACAAACGAAATAGAAAATAATCTTCTTATGCACACTAAATTTCTTTCTATGTATATATCATGCGTTCACTAATAAGCTTCTTTAGTTTACCAGTCCGTATTAGTCGATTAATAGACACATTATATCTCATACGATCATAAACTGATTAGAAGAAAAAAAATAAATATTATGCAAATATTATTTACTATAGAAAAAAAAAGTACCTATGAACATTTAAATTAGTTTTTGCATATTAAATAAACAAACTCAGTTGAGATATAAAAATAAACAACATACTTTCATGTTCTTCTTCACTACCACTTGATTCTAAATCACTTGATGATGAAGCAAGTTGAGCTTTTGATGGTAGAAAACCATATTTTTTTATAATATCAGCTCGACCTTTAAAATTAGTTAATAATATTGCGAAGTTCTTTTAAAATTCACAATAAACTAACCCGAAAAATAACCATAATGTTGTAAATGCTTTCGCATAAAACTATCATATGGACTCTTAAAATATAAATGGTCCTTGACAAATCATAAAAACAAAAAAAATCCTACCGATAATAATGAATAGTCAACTGCTCCTAGTTCCATGATTTTAATGAATGTTGAAGTCGAGTGATATTTAATATATTGTTAACATCATCAGTGGATATAATTCTGAAGAAAAAATATATCAAAGAAGTTTGTCGTTTGTAAGTAATAAGGGATAATTGTAAAAAGAAATTTTCTTCAATTTACTCATTTTTTTTTATTAAAAGATGAATTGTATAAAGCAAGGAATCTTTTCTTTTGTTAAAAAAAAGGAATAGAAGAAAAAAAAATTTGGTTTGTCTAACGACACATTTTCTTTTCTTTTTCCTTCTTTTTTTTTTTTGAAAGATTTTCATGTTTATCTTTTGATAATATTTTCTTTCTTGAAAAAACAAGATCATTTTAGTTTTATTGACAATTTCAAGGACAATCGATGTTTTACAAAAACGCTTGTTTTCTTTAAAACAAAAATAAAAATGAATTACTAGTATACGAGGAGAAAAAAAAATCAATGAATAACTCACATGACGTTCGATTTTATTTGTACAATAGAACTTTAGCGTAGAATACGATACACTCTCTCACTCACTCCTTGTTCTTCTTTTCTCTATAGCAACGATCTGGCCAATCAAGTGGAATTATTATTTCAAAATTATTGTATTATATTACGTCAAAATTAGCGACATCATTATTCTCTTGTTTGATAATCACGATAGAATTACAATAATAAGCTTTCATACGAAGTTGCAATAAAATAAAAGAAAAACATCGCAATAAAAGCTTAGCAGTTAAACCTAATGAGAGGAAACATTAGTTTTCAATCGATAATAAGATGTCTAAAATCTTGATAAATCAAACAATAGCTCATGTTACAATCATTCAACGTAATCCTACTAATATATCATATTACATAAGAGAATTAATTAATGCTAAAATAGTAAAACTCCACCGAACGAAATTATTTGAATAAAGTTGTTTTATATGTACTTAACGATATATTATTATTCAGTTTAACAGTATGTCTTTAATACACGGTGCACTCTGAAGTCAAAATGATATATTTTTTCTTTTTTTTTCGTATGATTAATGATCATAGGATTTTTAATCGAACATACGTCACCTGTAGGTAAAAATACCAGTCATGTATTCTCCATCAAATTTCGTTATTCGTAAATTCAACAGGATAAGAGAATTACGATAAGTATTAGAGTCTATATTGAAAAATATTTATGATTAATTTTATCCATTATGCAAATTAAACTTTATTATATAAAGAGTTCTCACATAGTAACTAGTCAAGTATTGAATCTTGAAATAATCTATTTTTACTCATCTAAATCATATGATATGAATTATATCATTTGTAGTTTGAATATCCAACTAATAGGTTTTATTTATTATATATTTCGTCATGATAAAACAATTTTTTTTTTGTACACGAGTCATTTATAGGATGAAAACAAGAAGCGTTTTTCTTCTCGGCAAACAAACAAAATATATTCGTTTCACACATGAATGCACACGTTGCGGCTTTTTAGTATATGTTTTTGTATACCTGAAAAGTGGCAAACGACCCTCAGTTGAATCAGCATACATATAAACGTTATCGACAAAAGCGAAACAACAACACTTATCATTGACAAAAAAAAAATATGTCACGAGAAGAAGAAGAAGCAAAAGCTCCAATTAAATCATCAATTATAAATTATGTTGAGAATTTCATCGATAAACGTAATAGAGAATTACGAGCATCAACAGGTGATGAGAGTGATACGTCAGCAACTCATGAAGTGAATAGAGATTCAATTGTTATTAATACAGGTGATAATGAATATCGACATGATAAATTTGTAAGTATTATTTTCAAAAAATCAACTGTTATATATTTATACTTTAATTTTAAATTGATTCTTTACTAATTTTTGTGTTTTGTATTAGAAAAATGATCGATCATCATCGACTGATATTGATGCTGATGATCTTAATCTTGATTCAGATCCAATCATTGAAACACAAGAAGGTGGTGCACAAGTTTATAAACAACAAGTTTATTTACGTCAATATCAACCACCAACCCCTGAGCCTGTTGACATTCAGGTTCAAGAAGTCTTTGTTAAACCTCAAGTACAACGACCACCTATTCATGTACATGTTGGACTTAGTAAAAATAGAGATACACAACGTACTCCATCGCCTATTTTAATTAAAACTGCTCCACCACAAGCACCACCGCCATCTTCCGAAGAGCCTATTATTTATAATAAATATGTTCCAGTTGATTTTAAACAACCACCACAACAAGTATGTATTATAATAAACATGAAGGAAATGATTTATTTATTTTTTCTTTCCTATTAGATCATCATTCATCGACATGCTGATTTGCCACCGAAACCACGTAAGTTCTTATATAGTCAATATTCTTTGTTAATAATTCTTTCGTTTCTTTTTTTTTTTGTATATATTAAAAGGTCCTATTGTTGTTGAACAATGGCTTCCAAACAAACCTGCACCAAAACGTATTACCTATCATCATGTCAATCCTGAAGACTATGTTCAAAGTGAAACTCATCGACTACGTAATCGTTTTATTGAATATACAAAACCACATACAACGATTGAAGTTGAAATTGTTCGTTTACCCGTAATTAAATTAAGACCAGAAGAATATCATAATCGATCACCTGAACTTACAAAAATTGATGAAGTTCGTTCGATGACACAAGATCCCAATACACTTAATTGGCGAATATAATTCAAAGCAAAAAAGCTCAACTAGAACACCTACATATTTTTTTCCCACATGTATTGATTTAAAATAAAGAATACAATCCCAGTAACCAATCGTTATCTTATCTCAATATTACTATCGTCGTACTTAATTTGTCATCGTAAATATTGATCAAAAAAAAAATAAAATATAAAGAATACAAAGAGTAATTATATTGAAATGTGTCTGTAAATAGTGGTTGATTGACTTTCAAATGACTTAAATTACATTTTACAGATAGATACAATGTGTGTCACGATTAATCGAGCAAAACAGTTTTGAACTGTGATCGATTATTAAATGTTTCAGGCAACAACAAAAAAAAGAAAAAGAAAAATAGCGGCACGTCAATCGATTGAGACATATGTAGACAGTCTGATAAATATCCTAAAGCATTTTTATTCTTATCTACCTTTAATATCTAGATACAATACATTATTAAATGTTTCAAATTGCGGTAAATATACATTTCTTTTTTTTTGATAGATATGAAATAGATTGAGAGTTTTCTCAGAGACAACAAAATACATCTAAGCGTATTTACCCTTGAATATCAAGGATTCTTATCAAATATAATCGTCAGTTGAAGTGTGTCATGTCAATGATGAACAGTGGCCTATTGCAATCACTGGTTGAACACAAATAAATGAACGCATGCATACATATATACATCTGTTATCAATATCGATTTTCCTTTTCTTTTTCATTTGATAAACTGTTTACTATTATAACGTATAGAGGGGGAAAAAAAGGAACAAATCAACTGACACAGATCAAGATCAATCATATTTATATGTATACAGTGTGATGCAATGGGGTAACTTTTCTTTATAGTATTTACACTCGATTTGATTTTCACATATATGATTAGCTAAAATCGAAGACAATCTGTAATTTTCACTCTTGAATTGTTTCATTCTTTGTTATTTTTTTAAGTGAGAATGACAATATGATTTAGTCTCGTCGTCGCCTGGGAATTTTGTTTTATTCTTTATAGTTTAAAGCGATGAAAGAAAACAAAGTGTTTAATCGTATTTATACGATCACACCCATTTTTTTTGATATTTAATTCAACATCAGAACAACAAAAAAAAGAAATGTTTTTTTCGTTTCTATAATTTTAAAAAGAACGTGGAATTTGGATTTTATATGAAGGTTAGAAGGTAAAAGTAACTGAACATGTTTAATCGACTAATCTTAATGTTTGCATATGCACTCACAAAATATCAATACTACTGCTATTATCTCTAATTTTTCTTTTCTTCTCTCTCTCTCTCTTTCTCTTTAGTAGTAGGCGTGTATACTTACATATCATACAACATTATCATTCAGTTACTCATTCATGGAATAATATCGTATATTCTCATTATTATTATTAAAATTTTTGTTTCTTATCATAATCTGTATGCAATATGAAGAAGGTAATATAAAGTTAATTTTTCTGCAAATAAAAGATTGTTTTCATCTATCGTCTCTTCTTCTTCTCTTACACATATTCATTAATTTAATCCTTTATATTGAATGAATTCGTTGCCATTGACCTCTTTTTATGCCGATGGAAAATAAAATGATGATCCTATAAGACAATACTTCACCTTGATGATTAGTATTCATTTTTATATCGTTATCTTTCTTTCAATACACTTCTCTTAGACTCCTATTTCAAAAGATGAATATTCTTCTATCATCACCATCATCTTCTCATTGCTGTGCAATATGAGCCTTTCGAAGGTCATTATATGAGTGAAGATATATATATATATATAAATACATATATGTATTTATATCTATATTGTATAATAACGTTCATCCTTCTTCTTCTTCTTCTTCTTGAGACTTTGCATTAACATACGAGAGATTTCCGTTAACCTTCAGGTTCAATTCATGTATTAAATGTCTATGTACATGTTGTACCTACATTTATGTATCCGTCATATAAGTAAGTGAAGATGAGCCCTTGGATTCGGTCAGAATGAAAAAAAACGAAAGAGTGTCACACCCAAACGAAGAGAAAAAGAAAGAGTGATTTAACATGAAATTGACATTCGGTTTTCAAGGTTCAATTTAGTCTAAGCTATACCTGAATATTATACATGTACGTATAATATGTGGACTAAACTAACTTGAGAAGAAAGAATAGAGTGAGCGTGTGTAATGATATGTTTCTGTGATGGTATGTTAAATGATACATATAATTTCTTGTCTCGTCCTGCTGCTATAGTGTGCATCTAAGTGACTATTATAAGAAAAGAAAGAATATATATATGTACATGATTCTTCATTGCTCATTCGGGTAAGAATTAATCATTAAGCAGAAAATCTTCGTATCAAATTAGTTTGTTCATATATATATATCATTGTAGAGAGAAAATGAATAATTTTAAAGATGAGATATTGAAAATGAAGAGTTGATTGAAAAAAAGTAAATCTCACTTGTCTTTGTCAATATAATTTATACATATATACATATATATCATCCTCTCTTTTACTTTATTTGTTTTGTTTATTGAATGTACTTCTTGAGTTTGTTTAATCAAATATTAATTACACTCTCTTTCTCGATCTACTTTTCTTTTCTTCACTTGACGTCATCTGTTCATACATACATCCTCGGAATTTGACAATTCGATACCAGACCCTCATATCATATCAAATAAATCAATTCGTTTTCTTATTTCAATTGCTTTCGACCCACAAAAAATACACTTGACCACACACCTATTGACGGATATATTGCATCAGCCAAACTGATTTAATTAGAATAGACGATGATAGTAATGACATTCTTATGTCGAGACGATAAAAAAGACAAAAAAAAACGACGGTAGAAAATAAAACCAAGGATGACTTTCGAACCGCTTTCAATAATAAGGTAAGGATTAGTGTTTTTTTTTGTAACCTTGATCGTCTCTCTATATATTCTATTGTATTTTGACATTAAATGTGTACAAAATAGTTTATAATGAACTGCTTTATTCTGTAAATGAGATGATAGATTTAACGAGTTCATATGCTTTTTTTGTTTCTTTTAAATTCATTGAAAATTAGGGTCATTATTTCTACTTATATGTTCATCCAAAACAAGAGAATGTATGTATTTATAGAGTAGAAAAATCATTTAAGAGTATATTTATGTTTGGTTGATGACTGAAGGATGACCATCGGTCTGTCGCCTCACAAGGCTATTTGTGTGTCTATCGAGTATACCCTTTAGTTGGATATTGAGACGCAATCGAAACAGCGAGCAAGAGAGAGAGGGAGAGACAGAGAGAAAGAAGTGTGAATTTGAGACGAGACGATTTAAGGACAAATCAATAGATGAAAAAACGTTTGATCTCATTTGGATGAATAAAATTCTTGTGAAGAGAAAAGGTAAATGAATTAGATTCGACATTGACCACTCATCATCATCATAAAACTTTTTTTTTCTCTATCGCACTATGTCATTGAATGATTTATCATATTCTTAATATGCATGTGACAAACATACAACATTGGCGTGAGGTGTCCTGATGAGTAGTTTTCGTGAGTTAATTGTTTTTTTTCTCTATACGAATGTATGTGTGTGTTCAATACTTATAGACATCTACACATATCAATTGTAGATCAAAGGCTATGTATTATTGTCTCGAGAGTAGTATACTATCGTATTAGTATTATTGTTTTTATTTTTATTTTCATTCTTGCGTAACTACAGAAGCAGTTGTTTGACTATAACAGGTGATATGATACATAATGATTACTTTTTTTTTGCTATGTTCTAATTAGAAAGTCTGCGATGTTTTTACATATAGCAACTCCAACTGACATCTTATCAGTACGTGTTTTCATCTATCATTTATCATCATCATATTATATGAACACTCCCTCCTTCTATTGAAAAGTGAGTATGAGACATACGAGCATGTGCTAGAAGAAAAGTCAGGCATGTTATTGCTTGTCTGATAAAGGTTATCTATCCCGAAGGAGGAGGAGAAGAAGGTAATGTAGTAGTAGTTGTAGTAGTCTAGTCATGTTGATATTCTCATGTTTGTGTATTTTCAACAGAATAAAATATATATTTACAAAGAAATCTGTCACAATTTAAAAAAAAAAGAAAACTTTGTAAGATTTCTATTTATTGTTTATTTAAAACATGAAAAGTGATTTATGGATGAAGAAAAAAAAATGATTTGATGTGAATTGATCTATTTAGACAGTTTAAAGTGGCACATATATATATAAATCTATATAGTGTCGTTTGATTTTTATTATCTGCCGATTCTATTGCTTTTTATTTTATTATAGAATATCAGGATTAGACACATATGAAGCCTAATATGACAAATTGCAGAAGCCTATTTTTTTATACTTACATGTTCTTTCGTACATATATACATACATACATACATGCGTATATATATTCAATCTATTCATTCATTGTTGTCGGTAACCCTTAATGGATTGTTTAAATTCATTATTTCATTTTCTCTTATATAATATCATTATTCGTTCCTGGCTGTATTTTATACATACATACATATATGTACATGTATTTGTAGACTTAGTACTTTAATGAGACCATTGGCTATTGTATTATTTTATGTTATGTTCACGCGCGCGCACGACACTATTGTATATGAGAAAGAGAGGGAGAGAGAGAGAAGAATAATACCAATAAGTTCCGTTCCGGTTATACAACATCGAATACTATTGTTATTCAGTAGCTAGTAGTTATGAGTTGAAAATATCAATCAACAATAAAAATGTTAGTAGTAGCTCTACCTGTCGTTCAATCTGGATAGGCAATCAAAGTAAATACGCTTGATTTCATGTGTCAGCAAATACTACTATTACGTAGATATCTTATATATATATATACGCATGTGTGTGTGTGTGTGTGTGTTTATTTATGCATATTGTTCAGAATCAGTGAATGTGCATATACGATAAGCAAAAAACCTTCAACTATTCAACTGTTGCAACATCGAATATGCATTGACCTCTTCTGTTGTTCTTGAAATCTTTTCTCTTCCGCTTGATGCAACAATTTCTTTTAAACTGACCGTTTATTCTTCTTATTTCTTCCTTCTCTTTTTTGACTTCACTAAGCACAAAAGAGTTGAAGTTATGATGTTCTTCTTTGGACAAACATTATTAAAAAAAAAAGAAAGAAATCTGAAGAATAAATCATCATATGAGTTATGCATATTTCGCTGAGTCATCCTTCAAGTTTTTATTGAGTTAATGATTATGTCAGGCAGGCAGGCAAGTTACGTTTCTCTCTTTTTTTTCAACAGTAACGGTGGCTTTTTCTTCTCTTATATTTACTTGCTTTTTAAAATAGATTCTTTTTTGTATACCTATATATGAATAAGGTGACAAGCCACCAATAGAGAACTTGAGAGAGTAAGACGTAGGTGTATTTAAATACAGAAAAAAAAAGACGCACGTAAGATATATCGTATTTTCGTCACTTATTAACTGAATTGATTTATAACGTTTTCGCGAAGTTTATCTGATGAGTATATACGCGAATCTTGATATTTAAAAGGTAGGTGATTCAGCTGTGTTTATAAGTATAGACATAAATTTACCTATATCTACATTTTTGTTTTTTTTTGCAATTCACATTGACTGACTCTTTTCTGTTATGTTATTGGTGGTATGATATAAGTGTAAAGTTGTATTAATTGTTGTTTCTCATATAAATGTATGCAAAGAATTTATACATATATATATATGCCTAGGTAGACATATACATTGAACGACGATGAATACTAAATGAAGTGGTACTAGCTATAGGTTAGTGTCTGACCAATTTTGATTTAACACATCGATTTGTTTTGTTTTCTCTTTGTTGATTGTGTAATGAATATATGAATAGTCATCGTCTCATATCCATCTTCGCGATTTATATATTACCAAGTGGGTGCAAGAGTTCGTTTTCTTTTTTTTTATTCTTCTTCGCTTTTTTTTCAATTTTGAAGAGCACGACGCGTCGAGAATAACAACATAATAACAACATAGGATCGATTGCATGATCGATACAAATGAAAGAAGATGAAAATTATAAAGTATTATTCAAAACGTGATGTGTTCAATAGAAATAAAGACATCATTGCATAAAGAAACTATGATCAGATTTCGTTTAAATGTTTCTTTTCCAATTCTAGTTTGTCTCGACGCATGTGTCCTTGTTCTATTTATCGATACATCTTATTCGTTTCTTCACTCTTCCTCTATATACACATATATATATATCGAGGGATCTCACTATTGTTTGTACTAGTGTCCTCCAAAAATATGTTTTTTTCTTATTTTCAGATGGCCATAAGAAATTGTTTTATAAACTAGCCATAATAATAATAATAATAATTCAATGATTTTACAAATCTTATCTTTAAGCTTTATATTTATAATTACTGTTGATATTATTCACGCTATATCAAGTATGTTTTAAATAATTAAAAAATTTTATTTTTATCTTTCTTTTAATTTCTAGTAACAAAACAAGGAAATGATGTGTTTCAGTTATTAAAAGATGTAAAAGAACGAGTAAAACATGGAACACGTATGTTTAATTGAATTTTAATTAAAAATAAAAATAATCGAATATTGATTTTTTAGAATGTCTTCCACCATCAAAATATTTTGCTGGTTCATGTTATACATATATGAAATTATTACCAGCTAAATCATGGGATGAAGCATATAACAATTGTTTATCATTACCATTGACAAAAGATGCACGTTTATTAGTTATTGATTCAGTAGCTGAATATGATTTTGTTGAACGTGAACTTATTGGACCTAAATCAGGATCAGATAGTGTTTCAGTATATGTTGGATTACGTAAGATAAATGGTAAGTCAAATAAAATAAGTCGATGATTTATTTTTATATAATCTTTTTTTTAAAGATACATGGCTTTGGTCAAATGATTTACCATTGAAAGAAACTCCTGTATATCGATTTTGGATCGATACTAATAAAGATATTCTTGCTTATGATTGCGGTGCACTTTGGCTTTCGAAAAATTCAAGTATACTTACAGCAGCTGCATGTGCTGAACAATCATCACGTCCTTATGTTTGTAAATATAGTAAGTTTTTATATTACATCATAATAGAATGAATAAACAAAAAATATTTTATTTAGCTGTTGATCGTTGTTATAATAATAGTGGTGGTTGTGGTAAATATGGTACATGTTTAAATTTACCACTTTTAAATTCTCATAAATGTAACTGTCGATTTCTTTATGCTGGCGAACGATGTGAAAAATGTAAGTTATTTCGATAATATGATGTTTTATTAAATGTGTTATTAAATTTACTCTAGGGAGTGATCAAGGTGTTCAAGCAATCATTGGTGGTATTATTGTAATTGCTGCATTAATTATTTCATTTATTATTAGTATGGATCGATCAAGTAATCAATGGTCATTTAAAAAAGATGCAGCCGAACATTATCAAGCGTAAGTTTGCTATTGAATAATGAAAGATTTAGATTTTATCTATATATTTTAGTGCTGCAATTTATGGTCAAAGTCGTCCAACATCATACATGCCACGATCACCACATGTTATTGATCGAGTTATTTCCAATCCATGTTCACCTCAGCATGAGTTTTTTCAAGCTTCAACTCCTAATGAAAAACATCATCGATTTAGTTCTTCTTCAACTCCTCCACCTATTCCTCCACCAATTGGCCGATCAATTGAACGTAAACATCGTTATTCATTTCGTCTTAGTATTCAAGAACTTGAAGTAACATCTCATATACGTAATTTATTTATTAAACCAAAACGTATCATTTTCATTATTTTACCAATTGTATTAACAATAATTATTTCGATTATTATTCTTCATGCAAGACATTATATAAAAGAAAAAGTTTTTCATGAATCATTTAATAATTCAACTCGTTTATTTCAATTTTGTGCATTATATGATAATAATTATTATGTTAATTTAGTAACATTACCTATTGCTGTTGCTATTATTCTATTAATTATATTTAATGAATCACGAATAACTTCGTGTCGATTAAAAAAAGAAAAATCATCCGAGAAATTTTCAATTTATACTCCAATACCATTTAATCCATTTTCAAAAGTCAATCGTTTTGATACAATGATTTTATGTGGTATTGTTAGTCATGAAATTCTTCAAATAATTGAAGAAATATTTCTTAAAGCAACACAAATGAAATTATTAACAATGCGTGGTCCATTATATGATCTTATTCGTCAAATAGG